GAAGGCCGCTGAAAAGCAAAGAGACGGATAGTGGTGATGCCGCGAAGAGGCGAGATGACGGGACATTGGAGGAGACTACACCTAACGGAGCTAAGAATCGCACTTCGTCCATCAAGCAACATCTGTCAGCCCGTACCAATTGTCGTGAGTTGTACAGTGATAATGTGTTCTCAATATTGTCACGTGGTAGATGTGCGTTGCATCTGGCTGTGTTTGAAGCTTTGTATATCCGTAAGTTAGATCCTGAACTTTGCGTACAGAAAGAAAATGTGTTGTCGCTACAATTGTTTGGTGTTACTCCTCGTCGAGGTGTTAACAATGTAACTTAATTTGCTCACTATGTTCTTGTCGCTATTATTATTTCCTTCGAGTTTTGTGTCGTGCTGAACTTGATACTTTTTCCACCTTGTAACGAGTGTTGTTATCTCATATCTTTACGCTATATAAGTTTTAGTCTTTCCAACTTGAGCCCGCATTCCCTGTATAATCCTTGATGAGAAGGGACCGAAAACGTTCGGATACTTTGACAAGTGCCTTATTTTGACTGGATGTGTGTTTGCGTGGATACTTACGACCCAACACGTACCTTCGTTATTAAAGTATTATCCACCCCCGACTTCTTGTAAAATTATTATTATTATTATTATTACGAATTAGTGGTTGCGACTTCGGCGATGATTTGTAAGAAAGGGTTTGCTCCCCACACCGGAGCTCGCGCTATTCCGCCGACTTTACTTGACACTTGACTGACTCACGACTGCCATCCAGAGCACACGAGAAGTCCATCGAACCTTCGACTCGGCAAACCTGCAAGAAAGCACCACTCCCTGCTCAATACACAGTGTTTCGGGGAATTCACCCCTCATCAGTTGAGCTTGAGTAGGCTGAGGAAGATTGTGCCTGAAGAGCACCACTTATATAGTGCTCTCCAGGCACAAACATCACCAGGGATACAAACTTACAGAGACGCTCCGTTTCCAGCGCGACAAACACCTCGTGAACACCAGATAGCAGCGTGAGTCAGTGTCGCTCCTGGACGGTGAGACAGACGTCGAGGACCCTTGGTCATTCGCAACGCTGTCACCTCCAAACCAACTAGTCGCAAGCCCGCGCTGGGCACAACAGTACGAATTAGTGGTTGCGACTTCGGCGATGAATAGCGCGAGCTCCGGTGTGGGGAGCAAACCCTTTCTTACAAATCATCGCCGAAGTCGCAACCACTAATTCATACTGTTGTGCCCAGCGCGGGCTTGCGACTAGTTGGTTTGGAGGTGACAGCGTTGCGAATGACCGAGGGTCCTCGACGTCTGTCTCACCGTCCAGGAGCGACACTGACTCACGCTGCTATCTGGTGTTCACGAGGTGTTTGTCGCGCTGGAAACGGAGCGTCTCTGTAAGTTTGTATCCCTGGTGATGTTTGTGCCTGGAGAGCACTATATAAGTGGTGCTCTTCAGGCACAATCTTCCTCAGCCTACTCAAGCTCAACTGATGAGGGGTGAATTCCCCGAAACACTGTGTATTGAGCAGGGAGTGGTGCTTTCTTGCAGGTTTGCCGAGTCGAAGGTTCGATGGACTTCTCGTGTGCTCTGGATGGCAGTCGTGAGTCAGTCAAGTGTCAAGTAAAGTCGGCGGAATAGCGCGAGCTCCGGTGTGGGGAGCAAACCCTTTATTATTATTATTATTATTATTATTATTATTATTATTATTAGCACACGAAGAGACGAAGCTAGTTGAAAATCTGATGAGGCCTTTCGTACCATTACTCTTAAAAATCAGTACAATAATCATGATGATAATGTGACGAAGTACAACGATGTCAATTCATACAGCAGATTGGCGGAAAAATTGTGATGAAACGTACACAGGCTGAATGATAGTGTGAGCTGCGCCAAAGAGTACACGCACTATAACAGGGAGGTGGGAAGTCAAAATAGCACTAGCTTCCTAACAAACTCCTTCTGTCTACACAGCTCAGGCTGTAGCTTTGCAATGTTAACAGCCTCTAGCACATCTAGGTGACATTTGCTGCGCCCGCGTGTGAATCTTGAAGTGCTCTGGAACATTCTTACATACTGCATTCAGGCTAGAAGGGGACATGATAAGATGTGTAGTTATTGCAGAATCATTCTTCGTAGCTGATGGGTTGTGTGAATCACGCTGGTTGGGTTCACACTTACTCAGGATAGGGTTAGTCTGCGCTACCTGATCCGATGGGCTCCTGGTCGGTGTCCGTGCAACTTGGCACTGTTAAAGTAGCCGAGTACTGCAGCGAGCGCTAGTTGTTGTCTGCACCTTCTTGGAGCCGACACGCTGTATGATGGTTGAAGCAGCGATAGTTGGCTTTGTCAGGGCTGTTGCCAGTGCCTTCTGTTTGGGCGGTCTTCCTCTCCTGGGTTTGACGTAGTCGACACCTGGTGTTGCGGCAATGACTAGTCTTGGCGGAATATGCTGCGACATGCGATCACCTAGGCATTGGGTTGTCTTGCTGATGTACCTGCGGCCACACTCGCAGGTAAATAGATAATTATATGACTTTGCTAATATTAGTCATCGGCAAGGCATCCTTGTTGGTCGCTTAATCATTTGAAGCGGAGGTACAGCGCTCATCAGACGAAGGAGCTGAATGCAGCCTGCAAATGGCGTGGACAACGGATAGCGACCTCGGAACGGATTCGGTTTCTCAATTCCTGCTTGGCTACATCAGTGGTCCCAACGGCAATTTGCAACAAGGTGAAGCAAGTGAGGCCGAAATTTGCAGCTTCAATCGCTCGGTCGTTCATCAAGAACGAGATCCTAGAGGAAGAGGAAAACCTTCGATGCTTATCCATCTGTTTCAAGCATGCGTGGACGCGAGTCAGTAAGTTTCTGTCATTTCTTGACTGGATATGGTTTAGTAAACTACTGGGTGAAATTGGCCATCGATCCCGATGTCGGATCCGTTTGGACTATGGGCAGAGAATTGAGTGGTTACGCAAGAACGATTTGGATCCCCAGAGTGTATCAAAGAGAGCGTGTTTAATCTGTCCAGCCATGAGTTGCCCCATAGTCAGATGGAGGTTCTCAGTCGTTTGGCATACCCCCAACGAGAATTTGCAGAGAATATATCTAGAGTGAGTTTGAACTCTTCTATTCCCAACTTTATCGACATGTACCAGACAAATTCCCCAGCGTGATGAAATGAAGGCAAAGTTAGCCGGCCTAGCCTATGGGTATTCCAACATCAAACAGAATAAGAAGGCATTTCCATTGGGAAGCGATCATATGACTGCTATTCGGGAGCTGCGCAGTAAGGATGATCTTGTCATCACACGACCGGACAAGGGCATTGGTGTAGTTTTCATGAACAGATCGGACTATGTCGACAGGATGATGCACATTCTGGATGATGAGTCCAAATTTCAATTCATTGGAAGCTGTGATGGGTGCGATCAAGAGTAGATAAACAAGAGTGTGCAACTCGCGGACGGGTTGGCCCACGGCGGAATTTTTTGTTGACGTAATCTTTTCGACGACGCACGCGCTGCGAGCCTTTTGGAGAGTTTTCCCCCGTGCACTTGGCTGGGCTTTATACTACAAGGTCGGTGCCCAGCACGTGCTCTCACACTGCTCTGCGGCAAAGCCGCGTTTCTCTGAAAAAAGGTGACGTAAACAAAAAATTCCGCCGTGGGCGCGGGGTATGTGCAGATTGTGCAGGAGAGATCCGGAGTTGCACACTCTTGTTTATCTACTCTTGGTGCGATGGATCGAATAAATCTGAACGAGAGAGCCCTCCAAGCATTCCTGCTACGGCAATTAAAACCGGGCAAGATAAACAAAAGTATCTACAACCGCATTCGTCCTGTTGGAGCAATGCACCCCGTATGTAAGGTGTTCCCAAGGTCCCCAAACCTACTCCCACTCCCCTTCGACCCATACTATCTATGGTAGGCAGCGCACAGCGTGGGATGGCCGAATGGCTAGCCGAGATACTGAAGCCGGTATTGGATCTGTACTCATCGCATGTGGTGCAGGATTCGTTTGAGTTTGCTCAGTAAATCCGGCAGAACAAGCCATGTGCTGGGTTCATGTGTTCATACGATGTAGTCAGCCTTTTCACCAATGTACCCATCGTGGAAACTATTGATATCTGTCTGGAGGCTCTACACCGCAGTGATCTCATTCCCCCAGAGGTTGAAGAAAATCTATTACGCAAGCTTCAGAAGTTCTATACAAAGCCTCCACGGATGTAGAGTTCAGCTTCAACAACAACATGTATAAGCAAATCGACGGGGTGGCGATGGGCTCACCCTTGGGACCCATATTTGCCAACATCTTCCTGGGTTACTGTGAGGCACAGACTCCTGATCAACTCTGGCCCATGATTTATGATCTTTATGTTGATGACACATTCTCTCTCTTTCCCAGTGAGGCTGATGTAATCAATGGTGCTAGTGAACCTTATATCAAATCCACTCTGATTTAGCACCCCACACTAGTAGCAAGTATTACCTTTACTGGGGGCAGGGGTAACTGCAGTTGGATCCCGGGACGGATACCCTGATGCCGTCAATCCTTTTTCTGCACCTTGTCCTCACCCACTTACTGAGGTGTGGTGAGCCCATAGGTGGGATCATTTTCAAGTCCACCCTAGTTTGGGGATTTCAGGGGGTGTCGGCCGTTGGGCGGTTCAATAGCCAATTGAGTCATCTTCCAAGATTCCTTGTGAGTCTCTCTCCCCTCTCCCGGGGAGACCCACGTGACCAGTTTTGGCAGTGAGCAAGTACAAGTACAAGTGTGTGTGTGTGTGTGTGTGTGTGTGTGTGTGTGTGTGTGTGTGTGTGTGTGCGTGCGCGTACACATGAATGCATGGATGCGTGTATGCTAGCGCATGCGTATATGTGTGTGTATGTGTGTGTGTGTGTGTGTGCGTGCGTGCGTGCATGCATGCGTGTGTGCTATTCTCTAAGAGACAATGACACGCTCCAAAGTCTTTCTTTCTTCTTCATGTCCTCTGCTACAGGGTACCAACGCCTTACTGAGTTTCTTTGGATTCCTAGGAGGTCGGAGCCGCAGCAGAGTCATCTGCAGCGAATATAACGCTCTACTGCAGAGTTTCTACCAGAATGGAGACGTATGTGTGCTAGATGTGCACAACGTCTTCAAGGCTCACAACCTGCAAGGGGCCACCGGCATTCGTGAAATCTGCAGGATGAGCAGCATGTTCATTAAGCGAACGGACGACCTTCATCAGTGCTTCAAACTCATCACGATCATCCTGGTGGAGATCACCCAGCGCCTAATTGTTCACGGTGTCCTAGCCTCTAAGGAGTACAAGTCCTTTGTGGAACAGTGTAACGAAGTGTCCACATGCCTTCAGGAAGGTTTTGACCGTGAAATCTTGGGACCAGCAGCTGGGGACTTGACAGCCTGTGGACGTGACTTTCAACAGTGCTTCGGCCGACGTCGCGACCTGATCTCAAAAGTCACCACCAGCCTGATGGGTCACTGCCGGGAGACGAACGTCTATCTCATTGTCTCGCTGATTGCTTTGGACTTCTGGATGGGCACTGTGTTTGACTGGAGACTGGAAGGAAGGTGGCTGCGCCACATGGAGGCGTTGGTCTGGAAATCAACCGCGAGGGCTCGCCATACCTTCCTCTCTGTTCTTGCCGCAAAGGAACTCGACCACTTCTTCTCCATTCCGCTGGACGCAGAAGCCCTGCTGGCGTGTGTTGGGCAGCTGTACAACTCACACAACATGGACGAGAGCACCGCCGTTCTCATCTGGACCAAACTGGTGGTTCTCAAGCTGCACGAGTCTAGAGAGAACGTAAAGGCGTTTCTTCATCACATCAGTCGCCACAGCACAGCCAGGCGCAAAGTACTGCCCTTCGTTCTTGCCCACGCATCCACCAGCATTGGTCCGGAGATCGCCCTGGAATTCTTCAACGCCATGCAACTCGGTCTTGATTTCGACATGGCGGCAAGAGCGGCCAACCAGGCTGTTACGAATCTGAGCCAGGCAGATAACATCGACGGTTTTCTGACCATCAACAATGGCTTAGTTGACTACTGCTTCCAGAATGGTGTGAAGCCAACAGTTGATCAGCTGCTGAGGACGATCACTTCGAGCACAGCCAATCGCAGTGCACTGAGCGCTGGTATCATTCTCTCGATCACCTTCCTGAAAGGAGACGCTCGCCTGAAAGTCAACGAGTCTCGTCAGGAATACAAGAGACGCTCGCAGGTAATGGACTTGCTGGATGCAGTAGCGAAACAGTCGAAGAACACACTGATCAAGGAGTACCCAGAGGTCATTCTCAACCTGCATGCCAAATTTGGAAGTGACATTCGGAACACAGTGGGAATCATCGATTCATCTCCTTTGCTGAGTCAGTTTGGAGGATTTTCAACCGATGTGCCATCTTCAGCAGCCAGCGTCCTTGCCAATATGAGATTCTCGGAGAAATCTTCTGTGAAGGAGTTCCTCCAGGAGGCAGTGGATGTGCTCAATCTGACAACCGACCGGCGTATACGCGTTTCACCGGACAGCGCCTCAACTCTCCTGTGGATGGGTTACTGCTATTCTGCTCGCAATCACCTGGCTAGTCTTCTCAAGAACGGAGTTTCCATCGCTGCTGGATACGCTGAGATTGTCTCCATGCCAAAGAAGGTCTGGCAGAGCCGCAGTGAGCCAGCTACACTGGAAGCCATCTTCTATTCAATGGTGCTGGATGTTCTGCAGGTTTTTGACCCGATCTGGGCGGTCACTGGAGTGGACAGCATCATCCTGAAGTGCTCGCACGTCTACTCGCAACAAAGCCAGGCCACGTCTTGGGCAAGGAACCGAATGTCCGGTTATGTTAGCGCTGTCTCAGAGCTTGACCGGCTTCAGATTAGCATGATAGACCGCAGCTACACCAAAGCAGAGTACAATCGTCTATCGGAGTCACTTTCTACCCTCAACACTATGTTCGCTGCGTGCGGATTGGAGCGCGTTCCACGCCTGCCCAATCCGGATGACGTCATCCAGCGCATGAAGAAGAATCAGAAACTGGCGGATTGGCTTCATAGCAGATCTGTTCCGAATGCAGGTGATGCTGCGCATGACCTCGATGTACTCTCGACCAGCAGCACCGCAACACTCTGCGTCATGGAGAAGCGTGTTGACGAAGTGTGGAAACGCTTTGGCGAACCGCTGCGTGACCAGTTGGCAAGTGACTGCCCCGAATCGCTGGTGCACTTCATCCTCTACTTCAGCGGCAACAGCAAGATCTTCGATGACAAGAGCCATACAGAGTACGACAGCAGTTCTTCCATGCAAGATAGAGCCTGGGTCAGGCGTATTCGCAATGCAATCAAGCAAGCCCACGGCACGTTCACAAACCTGCTGAACGGCATATCCAAGTATCGCATCATCCGACGCATCCTGGAGAACTTGCAAGACGTCAACTTGACGGAAGAGCTGGCCTTGATCCAGGCGTACCCGCCATACCAGCGCTTCCAACGGCACGGCAGCAGTGCCGGACACATCACTGTGGCCGTTGCCATCATTGAGCACCTGCGCAATGGACACGTCAGCGACATCAAGAATGTGCTGAGCGACATGGGGATCGTAGACGACGGCGATTCCGACATGCTATACCTGGAACGTCTTGGCACTTCCATCTCCGACGAGAGCACGCTGGCAAGCTTTGCTCAGGAGTACGAGACACTGTATCAGCTGTTTGACGGGCTACAAGCCGACCATTTCAAGCTCTTCAAGGAAATGGCGTCGGGCAACTGTGATAACATCCGCAACTTCTTTGCGACTGACTACCACTCGGACGATGGCCGACGAGAATTCCAGGTGAAGGTATACCACCTGAACATGCGCATGCAGCGTGACTCGTTCAACAACAACCTATTGTTGTCACTGCTAGACACGCACAAGATCATGAGTCCATTCTTCCTGCTGAGCCAGAAGAAACCGCTGAGGGCTATTTTGCAGGCTGTGGCCAACATCCGTGTCAACCTGCACAATGTGAAGACCTGCAATGAACAGATGGACTGTATCGCCGAACTGTTCAAGAAGGCTATTGCCAGTGCCACTGAGACCACCATCGATCAGCTCACCAAGCTTTCCTCTGGAGGCAATCTAACGGTAGAGCTTGGCGCCATGTCATGCAGCTCCTCTGTTTTCTCCTTCTCGTATCAGTACTCAAGCGAGATGACTCAGCAGCCGGCCAGCGGTGAACAGCAGCGTCACGGACACAGCGGTGTCATGAAGGAGCGAGAAGTGAAAGATTTCCGCAGCAACCTGCAGTACCTGCGCTCCATGCAGGGAGAGAACGACATCACGGCACAGGGACAGAGCCAGACCATCGGTCACATGGCCAACGACTTTGCCAACATGCTAGTCGTGGTGGACGAAGTCATTGAGCTGCTGTTCCAACATGAGGAGGAAGGTCACCCTGAGTACCAGAATTGCTTGGTAACCTTTTCATTGGACAAGGAAGGATTGCAGACAAAGGCTGCAGAGCTGCAGGATCAACTATCCGATTGGTCGAAGAAGCTGGCGGAAGTGCGCAGACAATGCCGCTTGCTCCGCCTGTTTACAAACAAGGACATCGCCACCATTCTTGCACTGTACACGCCTGAGACTGGGGGCCAAGCACCACAACAACTTTGCACCGGACGGAGCATGCGTGAGACTGCCATCTTCAAGTTGGCCGACATCAACTTGGAGCAAGACGCACGACGCGAGGACATTGTCAATATAGCAGCTAAGCTGGTGAGCAACTATGTCCGATCTCTGTCAAACATTGCACAGATCAAGGAAGGCTGTGATTTGGCTGACTGCATCAGCAAGTCCATGGAAGAGAGAAGCACCGACAACAACCGCATTATGCAAATGTTCCGACGTCTCTTGGAGACGGAACTGGTACTCCGTGAGACCAGGCTACCCAGCCAGCAGGGCAAGCAGTATATCTGTGCTGCCGAGCGGACGGACGCCAGCAAGGGTAATCTGAGCAACACCCTTCTGCTGCTCTGCACCATCTTCCTGTACAAACACAACTGTTTGCCGTGCACTGGACAGGTCCTATTCTGCTCTGAGCGCACAAGCAACAGCGAACTGCAGGCGTTCTTCACGCGGATTGCAGCGTTCCCGCAGCTGATATTCGCCATGGTGGGAGTGGAGCTACTGGGCTACAATGAACGTAGTCTACTGCTCGAGCAGCAGCATCAGTTCGACACTGATCCCACCTTCAACAGCGTGGTCTACTACATCTGTCTGGATCTGACTATCTGCTCCTGGTGGCCTCAGTCGTACGTGACTAGTCTGCAGCTGGCCTCTCAGCCCATTCGTGCGCTCTCCGACTGTCTGAAGTCTCTTCTCGGACACGGTCAATCGCGGCCAGAGCTGACTGCTGTTGTAGGTAGGTCAGGCAGCGGCAAATCACACTACATCGTCAACCAGCTTCGGAGCGACCCTGGCACTATGGCTGCCACTGTGGCTGTTGCTGGCTCAGGAGACACGTCCAACGTGATCAGAAAACTGTCTGCACTGGACAATAAATCCGCAGTGTTCTTCAATCTTTTGAGCCATGTCGACATGGACTATATCAATCGTGTCTTCTTTGAACTGATTGTATGCGGTACACTGGGTGACCCAGAGTTCTCAGCACTGTTCACCCTACCGCAGTCTTCCTCCTGGAAATGGTTCGTGGAGATACCTCACTGTGAAGACAAGGACGATCCCAACGCAACCTGCGAATCTCTGGCTAAGAGAGACTACCCTATGATCAGCCTGCTGTCTGAGTTCCACACTGTCACGGAAATGAACAACCCCATTCATATTGGTCAGCAGGAGCGGCGCATGGCAGCCATACTGACATGCTACTATCAAGGACGACTCGATCCACCTGTTGGCCTAGCTGATCAAGGCGACGAGATGTGGCAGATTGCCAAGGCAGAAGTGCTGGACGACAATGAGTGCCGAGTTCAGTTGCAGCGTCTATTCTCGGACATAAAGTTGACCAACTCTACCAAGATGCACCAGATGGCGTTCTTGCGCTACCTGTATGATCGGCTGGAGCTCTTCAACAGAACAGTCTTCGTGACCAGCGTGTCGTTCATGTACTGGAACTTGGCCACCAAGGCACTGTTGCACTTCATGAGAGAGGCCCACTATCTTGGCACACGCGGTCTTGAGTGCATGTGGCAGAAGTGCAAGCAGTACTTCCTGATCGCTGATCCCACTGGTGGAAGCTTTGCTACCTTGGAGCCGCCTGAACGTGCAGAGCTCCCTGTCAGCAGTACAATGCTGCTGCGGCGTGACGGAAAGGAGAAGGCACTGCTGGCAATCGAACCGGAAATGGAGTCGGAACCGGCTGGCTACCTGAGCTGGGCGTTTGGTCTGCCCAAGGACAGAATCAAATACCTACTCGATCAGAAGCAGTTCGTCTTGACCAGAGACTTTATGTACAAGCTACTGTTGATCAATGAACGCAAGAAGGCCCGTCTTCCTCTGATCATAGAAGGAGAAACGGGAGTTGGAAAGACGTTTCTTCTTGAGATGTACACCAAGTTCATGAACTATGAAGCAGCGTACAGCGCAGAACGGGAGAGTGCACCAAGACCCATCTCCCGTTGCTGTGGTTGGATTTGTAAGCTTGTTTTTGGTGGCCTCTGGAAGACAATGAAAAAGGAGTCACGTCTGTGGTTCGCTGGTAATGAAAATGAAACCTATCCACAGCAGAAGCATCTTGCTGCAGAACAAGAGGAGCGCCTTAATCACGAAAGGTTTCATACCCCAGAACAGCTGGGCACGTTTTGGAGAGAGCTTTTGGAAGATCATTTGGACGACGAGACACGCAAAACTGCAATCGATGGCCTGTCCAATCAAGTGGAGGTGTGGTTGAAGAGGTTTCCCATCCTCAAGCCAGTCGCAACTGTGAATGAGTTGCGTGAGAAGAGCAGCCTTTCAGCTGTGGAAAGTGCAGAGCTACTATCGTCCTATGTCTCCAGTCCCATTGAAAACCTCTTCTTCAAGCTTCTCATCCATCCAGGTATCTCAAAACAGGCTCTGGTGGCGTTCATGGAGGCGCCGAGGGTTCTAGCAGCGCGATGTCCTGACCAAGAGGTTGTAGTGTTCTTTGATGAGGTGAACACTTCCAGCTGTCTCGGTGTCTTCAAGGAGATGCTCATTGACAGAATGCTAGATGGCAAGCCCATTGAAGACAACATCTTCTTCATCTCGGCTATCAATCCAAGCCTTGCCAAGCCTGCCGGCCGGGCTGTTGCTTCATCAACACCAGCAATGCCCTCTGCAGCTGGGCAGCAGCATGATGCAAACGCAGATTTCATCGACGCATTTCGCCAGGTGTACTTCGTCCATGATCTGCCGGAAGTCATGAACCAGCTGAAGTGGGTCTATGGCAGTTTGAGCACGGAGCAGGAGCTGAAGGAATACATTGTGGCTAAGATTGACATTCAGAAGAATCTCATTGTGAAGACAGACCGTACTATCGTTGAATTCAGTCTGGACTTGAAGAAGGCATTTGCGTCCATTCTGCTCCGTGCCCACCAGTACTGTATATTGTTCCTTGGCAACAGTTCAGTCAGCCAGCGTGATATTCAGCGAGTGTTCCTTCTGATTCCGTTCTTCTGGCACGTCGAAGAGAACTTGATGAAAGAACGACAGAAGCAACAGAGCTATGCTGCCATCATGAATGTCAATACAGTGCTGAAGAAGAGCATTTCCTTGGCTATCGCTGTGGTCTACTACTTCCGGCTGCCGCGCGAGCCAATCAATGACCGCAGCAGCATATCTCATGGTGTCTGCCGTTCCGGTTTCCAGCACTATCTGCACAGCGACCAAACAGATATAGCACAGGCACACATGCACAAGCTGGCTGATCTGCTTGCAGCGTGCCCTAAGTGCTCTGATCCACAGTACGAGGGTGTGTATGCGTTGCAAGCGAACATCGACGACATGATCAACGACTTTGTGACACGCGAGCACTTCAGCTTGCCGGAAGGCGTTGCCCTTACCGAAGCTCTGAAGGAGAACATCTTCTGCACAGTGGCGTGCATCCAGACACGCATCCCTCTTGGAATAGTCGGTCAGCCAGGCTCGTCCAAGACACTGAGCTTCCACATTGTCAAAAACAACCTCCGCGGTGAGCGCTCAATCAGGCCTTTCTGTAAGCAGTTTGTGGCGATTGACTCTTTCTTCTACCATTGCTCAGAGCAGTCCACTTCAGAGCAGGTGGCCAGTGTATTTGACAATGCAATCGAGAGACAGAACTTCTACAACCAGCAGGCGAGCCAAGAGTGGGAGAATGTGCGCCGGAGCCATGTGAAGTTCGTCAACAACGAACCTGTAGTGGAGGAAGTTGTCAGTGAAGCTGGAGCACAGCAGCCCAAGGTGTCCACCCACTGTGTTGTCTTCCTTGATGAGGCTGGACTACCCACAAAGGAGAAGAGCAAGATGGTGCTCAAAGTTCTCCGCCCGTATCTGGATGACTGCAAAGTAGCCTTTGTTGCTCTGTATAATCACTGGTTTGATGCAGCCAATGCCAATCGGATGGTAACGCTGTATCGCTCACAAGCCGACCTGAAGGACCTGGTGGTGCTGGCACTTGGCTGCATCAAGCGAGGAGGCCCACAGGCTGGTGAGGATAGCGCCAGTAACGACGAGCAGCTGTACATCACTGGCCTGTGCGAGGGATATCAGGACGTGACCCGAGACGCAGCGTTCGCCAAGCTCTTCCATCACCAAGACCTGATCTACTTGCTTCGGCATCACTACCGCAATCAGCTCCTCCGCAACAAAAGGCAGATCCCGCGAAATCCGAACATCTTGCTTGAAGCTCTGGAGGAGAACTTTGGTGGAATGGTGAATCCGGATGACTTCTGTCGGCTGGCGGATATGTTCTTCAGCGCTGTTGCCAGGCATGTGGATAACTATCCCACTAACATCAGCGATGGAAGGTTCAGTCTTCGCAACACTGTGAAGATACTGAGAGATATCAACGTGGCCAATCAACATGTTGACGAACAGGAGTTCCTCAGAACCGGTCACCCGCTGGCCCCGCGCTTCCGCATGATCATCGACCCAACGGACGACTACACAGCGCTGGACGTCATGCGGAAGATGAGCCTGGTGGATAGCCACAAGACGCATGTCATACACATGAGCAACCTGCCTGGGGATGAAGATGAGCTGCACAGTGCAGAGATCCTGGCCAGAATCCGCCGCTTCTTGGAAATGGACTGCACCATTGTGCTCGTTGAAACACGTCGTGTTCACGGCAGTCTGTACGAGCTGCTGAACCAGACGTTCCGAGTCATTCACAACGATGGTGGCCGGCACATCTACGCGGACATTGCCGTCGGTGCCACTACGTATCTGTGCCGTGTCAACCCGCACTTCCAATGCGTGGTCATACTCAAACACACCGAAATGGAAGTCTCGTCCACGCCGTTCCTGAGTCGATTTTCCAAGTTTGTGCTGCGACCAATGGACGCCATGAAGTACGCACTCAACAAGGTGGATCCCAGCGAACTTAGCACCATTGCCGTCATCCGCGATCGATGCAAAGGGTTCATGGAGCAAATTGGGTCACGCAACTTCTACGGCTGCAATATGGAGCTGACTCCGAACACGCTGATGATGTCTCACCTGCACAGCACGGTCAACGACCGATTCACCTTTGTGCCTGTCACGTCATGCACTGCGGAAGTACGCGAGCAGTTCAAGGCATCGGTGGTCGACGATGCACAGCTCTCCGTGCGATCTCTGTGCGCACGCCTTTTGCAGCTGTTGCCTCCGGAGCACTTTGTTCTTGGTCTGAACACACTGAATGACCCGGCCGCGTATTTGACTATCTATTTCGACATTTTGGAGCACTTCAGTTTGCAGCACATCATCTCGGTGATCAACAAGCGCGCCCTGCATCAATCGCATAGTATGTCAGCGGTAGCCAGCGGGATTGTCAGTGTCAATAAGTTCATGATCTATACGCGCTCATCGCTGGCTGTATCTCGGCTGGCTGGCCAGCCGAGTGAGTACTTTGGCATTGAAACTGCAACCAAGCTAGAGATAGCAGATACGAGTACGTTCCGCAAATGCAGTGAGGCTGAGGTCTTCCTGGAGAAATTTGTCAAGTCGCAGAAAACGTGTGCCATTCTCTTGGTGGACACATCAAACGGCGTTTCGTCAGCTATGTCCATAGCCCTATTCAAGCATCTCATCAACGAAGCCGCGGTATCCCTGCGCTGCTCGTCTGTAAACGTGCCTGTGAAAAGCTTTGTCCTGCTGCTGCACTCTCCGCTGTACATTCCCAGCTCCAAGCGGGCGTACCCGTGTCCTCTTCTAGACGGCTGGGACTGCTGTTTCATGGACTTGCCGGGTGGTGTCAACGTGCCTCTGATGAACGTCAAAGCTCTGGCCAAGTCGTGTGCCCTGCATGGCTTAGCTAGGTCGCCCAAGGGAAATGAACAGCATTCTGATGATGTTGATGAAGCCAGAGAATCTGAGTACCTAGCTGCCTCCTTGGAGCACGGGCTAATGAACATCAAGGAGGACCTGTCTCGCGTCTTCTGTAGCCGATTAGGCAATATCAACACTCCAGCAGACATTGTGTCATCATTGGAACCACGTGACCTCATTCCGCTTTACACACCAAGCGGAAGACTTTCTCCGGGCTCTGGCCTAACCGCATCCAGCCTATCTGAGCGGTCGAGAACAGTCACATTCATCCTGAACCAGTATCCGTCCATTCTCAAGCACATTGGCCGACGTCTCTTCCATCGATTCACGCCTCAGCGCTCGTTCCAGCTTCTGGACAGACTGGCAAAGCATGTTGCTCAGCGAAAGTCCTTCTTTAGCTTCGCTGATCTGGTGGAGATGCATATGCGACCGGAGCTGGAGAATATCTTCCAGAAGGTGATGGTCACGCTGTGCAAGGATTTCGGATTGGCAACGCTGATCCGCAGCCAGGTGCCAGAGGCGACGCTCGGGACACTGCTGGGTCTGATCCCGCGCATGACGGTGCAGGATGAGCGCAGCTACAACCAGCACCTCTGCTCCATCTCCTGTGCTGGTCGGGTGGTGGAAACGCCGCTGTTCGCTCAGTGGAAGCACCGTGTCGAGTCGTTCATCAGGAACATTGATATGGAAGAGCCGACGGCTTGTGATCTGCTGCACAAACGCGTGAAGAACGATGAGTGTCTGAGTCAGCTGATTGAGTGTGAAGACCTGATGGACAAATACATGACAGACCTGATAGCCACTGTGTGCAACTGGACTGGTAGCATGAAGGCTGTGAAAACCGCCAAGATTTACTTGACACTGAAGTTCAAGGAGCACAAGGAGAGTGCGCCGGAGGACTGCTATCGACTTTCGCACATGCACTATGTCCTGCACATGGACGAACGCTCGGACGTGCTGCTAGTTCTGCACGGTTCCGGAGCTCTTGAGCACCTTCTAGAACCCGGAGACTTTGATGCCGATCAGTATGTCCTGAGTCAAAAGACTACAACTGACAGCTACTTGGACCAGTTTGCGGAGTGTCTGTTCCGGAATTTGTGGAGCCACTTGACCAGCCTGAAGCAACGCCTGGGCACTGATGAATGGTGGAGCTACATGACAAGGTGGCGGCAGAGCTATCGATTCATTACCGAGTTCTTCAAGCCAACCAACGCAGCACGGCTGTCCAATGAACGAGATGGAATCCAGGAAGACTTCTTCAATGCGGTGCAGAGAGTATACTCCACCCAAACTCCCTTGCTACGCTTGATGGTTGCGACAGACATCTTCTTTGGCTCGCACACGCTATGCGAAACCGATGATGCAGTGCGGGCGCTTCTGGAGACCATTTCACGGCTCAAATCAGAAGGCCTTACCACACCATTGGACATTGTCAAGCAGATTGTCAGCACACTATCCGGCAAATGTGATGAAGCAGACCGAACTAGCCTGTATCTGGAATATCTGAAGTGGATAATGCACTCTCTGCTGAAGTGTGAGAGTAGCAAAGAGCTAACTTACGTGCTTCAGGCAATCAACCAGACAGCTGAGGAGAAGGTGAAGATGACGTTTGAAACAGCCACACAGCTCTTCATGATGATCACCACTCAGCAGAAACAGTTGGGTGCTCGGGATGACGTGCTGTGCATCTTCCTAGAGGATCAAGTCAGCAAGGAACTGCTCCGTGATGCGGCTCCGAGATGCCTTGAGCAGGAGTTCAGTGCTAGCATCTACATACCGGGCCTGTATCTTCCAATAGACTTTCCAGAAGCAGCATTGCCCGCACGGCCCGAGGTGATCAAAGGCATCCTTAGCATGCAACTCGCCCATGTGTTCTACTCATTCATGTGCCAGCAGCAGGAGAAGCGACACATCGAGTTCAACGATCGCGTGACCGATGCCGATCCAGCTGGCAGCACGATAACAGCGCAGAACTTTAGTCCTGGTCTGATGCTCCGCTTTGCTGCGTTCACACGGGTTGCGTTCAGTGCAGCAGCCACGAAAATCGCTTCACTGGTGGAGGCACCGGGCGGGCCAGAGTCGGCTGACGATGTTGAGGGTAAGGTAGCCGCGCTGAAACCTTTACTGAACAGCTTGTGTGGCAAGCATGCGAAATGCGATGCCTGGCTTTCCTTCCTGGTGTCCCGTCTTCTGTCCACGCATCCTGCGCAGACCTTGATCCGACTGCTCAAAATGTTCGACGGAGACTGGGTGGCGAAGTGTTTGCAGATGGTTGGCGGCAGTGTCAGTTTCAGTCAGAATACATTTGTCTTCATGCAAGTCAGCAGTGCGGCCAGGGAAGATGACAAGCTGCCAGGCACGCATGACAAGTACCAGGAATTCTCTAGCATGTTTGAAGCAAGCGTGGCAGCCGATAACAACTTCAAAGCCATCAAAGAGTGGTATACGCAACACAGCAGGCCAAATGCACCCAAGCTCATCCCTAACATGGAATCCCGCCACTGCGCCTCCATGTTCATTTTCCTGAAGGTGTACCGTGATTACTTCATGGAAAAGGAAATGGATAGGGTGAAGACCTTGGGCCAAGCATTGCCATTGACTCCGTTGCTGCGTGACAGCCTTCGGTTGCTGTGCCGTGGATGTACTGTTGCAGTTCCAGATCTTCAAGCAATATTCAAGGAGGGCAAGTGCCCAACACCGGAGCTGCAGTACGCACGAGACATCATCGTCCACTGCTTGGCATACATCCTTGCTACTGGCCAGCCTGGCAATCATCTCACGACTTGTGTCTACACACCTCGTGATTTCCACAAGACACTGCTATTTGGTGCTGTGAACTATCGTGGCTACATTGATCCGAATCCGACTGGCGTTCGCATTGACTGCTGCTGCCAGTTTGATCATGATGGTAAACCAACGTATCTGGCTAGCTTCGCGCAAACAATACCCGTTGCTCTAACCCCACTAGGTACGCATCTCAACGCACTGCTAACATTCACCGGCCTCTGTCTGCACGGCGTTACACAGAGTAACACTGCAGCGGACACACTGGAGGCTGTGCTGACGGAGAGTGACGTCCAGACCGAGTGTCCCAGGGCCGGCAGCTTTCTGCAGCAGGCGCTCCAGTTCTGTCTGAACCGCATCGTGCAGCTTCACTATCACCTGTACCACGATGACAGTCGACTAAACCCGGACAGTGGCCTGGGCATGGTGATCTCGTCGCTGGAAAGACTGCTACATCTTCAAAGCACATCCAGTGCACAGCAGCTGAAGCCATTCTACCCGGCCGATGAGAGAACGGTAGGTTTACGTCAGCAGTCTGAGGCGTTCTTCCAAAAGGAAGTCGTCGACCACACTCTGCATCTGATATGTGTGCGATTGCAGCGCGGTACATCTGACGGCGACCAGGTGGCCGCTTTCAGAAAGCTACACCGTCCTAGCCTGAGCATGGCGGATGTGCAAGGTGCTGTTGCGAGACTCGGCACAAGCCAGGCCGCGGCTCATCCCGTCCTGCACGGTCTGCTTGGCAATCTGGAGGCGTTCCAGTCGCTGCGCTACGCCACGGACATTGCCAACTTCTACATGCTCCTCCATCGCTACCTAGCCTGTCATGTCTCCGAGGCGGAATCACAGAAATTCAGTTTCTCGGAGGCTGTTGCCACGCTGAACCAGAACAGGCGGCATCAAGACCGACTCCGCAAGTTCTTCAAGAAAGCACTCGAGAGCTTCAACAAATTCCACAACAGAATCGGTGGCACGCTGCAGCCTGGCGCTTGTAGCACGCGCGTAAGGTATGAGGCTCTGGATGACGACAACCCTATTCACTACATGATCAGCACGCAGGCTGAAGATGAAGGCGACATTCTCTTCAGGGTGATGCAGGAGATTCTCCGCCACCAAGACCTGTTCTTGGTTAAGTGCCAGGAGGTGAAAGTCCAAGGCAGCAACGAGGCATTGCGCTACAGTCTCCAAGCCGGCCAGTTTGAAGATAAGATCTCAATGCTGCAGGTGGCCAGCTATGGTGCCGGTCTTCTGCGTGTGTCCAGCGACGACATGGAACAGACTTGCCTGATGCATAGTCAACTGGTGCAGGATGCTGATGGTGTGTGGCAGTCTAAGTTCAACCTGGCTGCCATCGAGCAGTCGCTGGTGCAGCAGTATGTCAACAGTGCGCGCATCGTTGACCTAGCCAACTTCCGCGTTCAGTTCCGCTTCCGCGAAGAACAGTCCGAGCAGAGCGTACTATACTTGGAGCAACTAGCCGCAGACTTGCCAGCAAGGATCTTCCATCAAGAGTTGGACCATCATAGCCGTGCTGCCATCAGCCAGGAACTGAAGCGGCAGCACTATCAAGAGTCGCTCAAGGTCCTGCAACACTTGGTGACAGTGTCCACTGAAATCGTGATGCTGAAGCCCACGTCAGAGTCTCGCGAAGGCGTGCATGCAGAAATGGAGAGAATCGGGCAGATGAGGCTGGACGACTTCCTTGAACAGCAGCAGATGCCAGCAACGAAGCAGTCACTCTCTGCCATCTCGAATCAAGACAGTGTGCGAATGTGCCACATTGTTGATCTGTACACAGCTGTCAAAGAGCACCTTACGGGGCATGAGTATCTCTACATGCGCATTCCACACTTGCTCAAGGAGAAAATGGAGAGTAGCCTTGATGAGAAGGTAGAAAAAGCACTGGACGACTACTTCTACGAGCAGTTGGGCGAGCTAGCTCTGCTGAGCATCATTGATATTGCTGATGAAGCTCTTAGTGTTCTTCAGGACTCTGTGCCCCATGTGCAGAACTACCCGGGCAATTCCCTGAAGGAAACACTGGATGTGCTTGATGTCCTGGATGCGGGAGATGTTCTCTCTCGGCTGCCGGATGATGTTCGTGGACAGCACCTGAAGGAAGTGATGGCAAAGCTGGTGAGGCACGGCTGCACGGCACGAGAGAAGCAAGTGGAGAGACGACAAGAACGCGCAGTGTGGCTGGAATGGGATGGAGAAGAGCCCAAAGCCCCCAAGTGGCTCGAAGTCGAGGCTCAGGTTGACTACTCGTGGAATGAATTTGATGAGCTGGAGGGTTTGAGCATACCCAGCCAAGAACAGGAAGGCATGGAGTCCCCGTCACACGATCAGTATGAAGACCCAGCACAAGTCACCAGCACTAGCACTGCTTCCAGTGCAGAGGTTGGCAGTGGTGGCACTGCTGTTGCCTCTACTGTAATTGAGCAAGACCACTCCAGGCAAACTGGGCAAGATAGTCAAGGGGAGAGATCAACAGTACGTCTTTACTCGCCGACCCACTCTACGTTGCCAGGCTTTGATGAGAGCATCGTTGTGTTACAGCCAAGCAGGGGAAATGTGAGTGACACACAAGAGCAGCTAGAACCACAGTCCACAGTAGTCAACCAGGAGCTGAGCAAGAAGCTGAACGTTCAGGCACTGGCCCAGTCTGACATGCCCCGACTCTCACTTTCAACACAGGAGCTACCGATAACCATGCCATGTTCTGCCATCACCAACGCCCCGCGTGGAATCTCACGCCGCCAGCTGGTGCTTCGTGGTGACTCCACTTCGCAACAGGAGCCCGTCAAGTACGGCGGTGTTCGTGGCAAGGTTCTGCAGAAAGCCTGCAAGACGTTTGAGGTGGAAGAAAGCACGGTCCTGATTGCCGACTGTAATGGGTATGTGCTGAAGGACACTGAGGATCCTGCCAAGCACGTCACCACGAATCTGTGTGTCTACTATGTGGTCAAGGCGGAGAACACCATCGAGGTCACCTTCCACCTGCACGGAGCTGCTGCGGACAGCAGTGCACAGGTGCGCACCGTGCAAGCACAGTTTGAGAATATCGCTTCTCTATCCCTGTTGTGCACGACCGCACTGCGTCTATTCGGCTTCACCTCGCCCGTCCGTGCAATTCTATGTAGCAATGAGGGTGTCGTGTTTACTGACGAGTCCCTTCAAGGTCTACTCCAGTCGCACAAGGAGACTGCACTCCACTTACACACTGGAAGTAGTAGTCAGTTAGTAGCTGTTTTCTCCGATGTGGTTGGTATCAGCGCGCCACTATCAAGTGTGCTCCACTCTGCAGTAGAGGATTACCTTGCTGGTAGTCTCCTGGATTGTGCCAATTCTGCTTTCTACCCACCTCTGTCCAGCTTGCCTGCAGACTGCACTGAAGCTCAGGTCATGTTTGTCCTTGATGCTGGTGCAATGTGCGACACGACAGTGGTGTGCGGACAGCGTCAGGTCACTCTGGAGCTTGTGAAGTGTACACGTGTTGAGCAGCTTCATCGAGAGCTGCACGACTGGTTTTCTGTGGGCGATCCTCACAGTGCGTTGGCTTGGAAGCCTAGCGATGGAATTGAGCAGGTGGTACCCGATATGTCCATCTTACACCAGTACACGACTACCCAGAGTATCTCCCCTGCTAACCACGAGTGCCGCATGTCACTGCTTGTTGCAACAGCGCCACCGCACAATGTTGTCATTGATCTGAGTGTCTTTCAAATGCTGAGGACAAGCATAACCGTGGATGTCCACCAACGCACGGTTAAAGATCTGGTCAAGGAACTGTCTCGCCAGCTGAGACTGACTGCCGAAGTGGAAGCGTTGGCCTCTCTGATTGACACGTCTACTATGTGTGAGCTACTAGAGAGCTCCCTACTGGAACCCAGTCTCTCACTGCTGCCTCAGCCTGCACTTCACCTAGCCTTACAGACAAGACGGGACGTGTTTACCGTGACTATCCGTGCACAGGATCATGAGCAACAAGCTGATAGCAAGGCCCTGACATTGGTAGCTGCGGACAGCATCACTGCGCAGCATCTGCTTGGTAAGGCGTCGCACTTGCTGGAACTCACACACTACTTCCAGCAATCGAGACCTGTCGGAGTCGCTTCAGACAGTGGAATATGGCTTCCAGGTGCCATGCCTCTTGCACGCCTGCCACGAGAGGACAACGGGGCTGTTGTAAGAATTGGCGTGCTCGACTATGCCGATTGTTGTGTTGTTCGGCTGAAGTTCCCAAGTGAGCAGTTTGGTTTGTTTGCAGTGCCCATGGCAGTGGCAACTGGTGAACTGTTGAAGCTAGCAGCTCAAATTGCTTCTTCCGAAAGTTCCCTATGTTCTCTGCTGGTGGAGCAGAAGAGCTTAATAAATACCCAGACAACAGCAACAACTGCCATGAGCATGCTCGAGTTTTTAACGCAACTCAAGCAGGATCACGACTTGCCTGGCGTTGAGACATTGGGCACATCGTCTCATCCATTGGAATGTGATGTGTCGCTATCTGTGCCGCAAAATGCTGCTGCGACTGGTATGGCAATGTCTGATGGCCTGCAGCTAGCTATGGCCGATGCTAGTGTCGGACAGACAGATGGCACAATCCGGGTGAGGATAGCTCTGTTGCATAACCCACGCACTGTACAGGAAGTGCTTGTGCCTGCGAAAACCTCCATCTCTAAGTTCTACAGCAGTCTCTGCAAGAGCCTGGGTCTGAGCCCATCTGAGCAGCACTCACTTTACGCTCAGTCTCTGGATTCTGAGCAACCGGAGCACATTGAGATAGAGAGCGATGAAGATGGAGATGACGGAGAGGGAAATGAAGACACCATGATCAGCAGCCTGTTGACAAGTGGCTACACGTCTAATTTCTACATCGAAGCGCCAGCTCTTGCTAGTGTGCACCGCTTGCAACCTGTCGAGGCATCTTTCATTCGACTGCCCAGCAACACTCTGTCACTTTCTGAAGAGACATTTGAAATCATCGCCCCGACTACTCTCGCGGCTGACAGTACCACTAATACGCTGAGTGTGAAAGTGCAGTTGCTTGGTGATGCAGCTAGCATTGTTCAGCTTCAAATTTCTATGACGGCCGTGTTCTCCGACCTGATTGGATTGGCAACGGAACACCTGAGACCTGGTCATACCTGCACTGCCCTCTCTGTGGACGGCGAAGACATAGAGCTTGGCGAAGAGGAGCTGTCATCGCCGCTGACCGACATACTAGACGGCAGTCAACTTGTGGAGCTCACGTTCACATCCTGACCTACCGCAGGTAAGAGCATTCTTGGTTGTTCAGGAAAACTATGGATTCACTTTTTGTCTGATGATTGCGTACAAGCATGAAAGTCGATGAAACGTTAAGCTACGACAAATTCTGATTGAACCTCTGTCTCTTTCTTATGTGAATACTCTCCGTGCATTGAACACTTTCCCGTCAGTTTGCCAAACCTCTATTTGTATTCACATATTGATACATTTTAGGGCTGGTGAAATGTAGCATTTATGTCTAACATTCCTGAGTGCAGAATACTGAGGCGTGACCTGCCCACCAGAAATGTTGTTTGTGGGTGCCAAATTTGGGTGCTCCGTGTCATTTCTGATTCACTTGAGATGTGCACTTAGTCTTGCAGGCAGAGTGGATTGCGTAGTATCTGGATGCAACAGACACTTGACGCCAGGGGATTTTCCCTGTTAGCGTGCATGCACATACGAGTGCGTGAGATTGTGTGCATGTGCTTGTCGGCGTGTACGATTGGATATCGACTCTTCAATCAGCCGTGTGGTGTCGACCAGGCTAAAATTAGTGGTGGTCAATTCATCAGTCTTGCAAGCTGTTGAATGGTGCAATCTCAGCACATGTTGCTTTGTCTAACATAGCTTGTTTGCTATCATCGCTTCCGCGATGGGCATGTCTGAGTCTGATGTGTGTACGCATGTACATCCACACTTACTTGCCTCCACATGTTGTTGAAGATCACGTGTCACGTTTCTGTGGTTGTATTTGTCCGTACATGCATGTGTACATGTGTGCGTGTGTGTGTGTGGGTGTGGGTGTGTGTGTGTGTGGGTGGGTGTGTTTGTGTATGTGTGTGTGTGTGTGTGTGTGTGTGTTTGTTTGTGCGTGGGTGTGCGTGTTGCGGAATGGATGTGCACCGTTTTTGTTGCCTCTGTCCCAGGTTGCTGACCACACCGTCTGTTTGCCATACCGCAGCGTCACAATCACTTTCACCAGCTTGCACCTCGCCAGTGAGCTTGCAACAATATTCTTCCAAACAAGACTCCAGTATGCTATTTCATGAATTTGTTTTGAAAGCGGTCTCTGCATGTTTTTCTGACTTTCATGCTGCATTTTGTTGACTTCACGCATTCTGCCCATGATTCTTTATTGAGAGACTCAACCTGAACTGCAGTGTGTTTTACTCTTCTTAGATTCGACTGCGTTACACGTTTGCTGTGCTTTGGCATTTGGACTTTCTGCGATTGCAGCTCTGCATGTGTGTCTTGCCTTGACTGGTGGACGATCTTCTTACGCTGTGTTGTTCTGCAGTGTGCTGTGTACTCGAAGTAGCTTCCCATTTTTTCTGCATTGCAGTGTTCTGCCTTGTGTTGCCCTGCCTGGCATTGTCTGGCCTTGCATAGCCCTACATTGGCAACATATTTCAAGTTTCAGCTGGCTTTCTTCCTTTAATATCATTGTCTTGCCCCACTTAAAGCAGTGTGCTCTGTGGTCAAGTGCCAATTTTTGACGTGCACAATGTATTCCAATGCCTCGTTTGCTAGCCTTTTTTAGATATTTTTTAAAAGGACTTCTTAAGAACTTTCCCTAGAGGACCCGATGTACTGTTTGCCGCAGTTTCTCATGCATGGCTTGCCACCGCGGCTTTCTGTTCACTTATTTTTGATGCTGTTGACTTTTTCCCCATTCGCCTGTTGTCTGCTTTCCTTCGCTCAGCTTGCTTTTTCAAGTCTGCCTCGCCGCCACATTCATAGTATTGTATGCCTGTTTGTGCCTTTGCCACACACTGCACATGCACCTGTACGTTCATGCAAGATGATGCAAGGTGTTTTTTTCCCTATTCAAGTTCCAAATTTAGATCCTTGTATTCATTGAATGAACTACTACTAGTAGGAGTTTTCCTTCTTTTTTTTTCTTTTCGAATCATATTTTTTAAACAATCGTGATTGACATTAAAAAAGACTTGTGCGGTGATGCATGTGCCTGAGAACGTCTTGTGGCTGTGTGCACTGCCGCGTGTGCATGTGCATGGATAGTTGCATTCGTTTGTATGTGCCGTGGTGTGATGATATTAGCTGAGCATGGCCCTTTCTTGGACAGCAGATGTTGCCACTGGATGTGGACAAAGGTGCATCTGTGTTTTTGCCTTCACTATCCTGGCGAGAGCGGAATGGAATCGTTCTGTGTCTTGTCTTGTGTGGCTTGCGTGTATTGCGTGGTGTGTGTGTGTGTGTGTGTGTGTGTGTGTGTGTGTGTGTGTGTGTGCGTGTGTGTGTGTGTGTGTGTGGGTATGTGTATGTGTGTGTGTGTGTTTGCGTGCATGAGTGTGCATGTACCGTGATCTAAGAGTAGACTACTGTCCTGGTTCATTGCTCCAGACAACAGTAGATCTACCATGAACCAGTGCAGCGAATATTCCAGTGGGCCATCACTTCCCAGCTGTAATGCACTCCGTATCATGAAGGAGTGTTGCGAGAACTAAGCCAGGGACCGCTATCATGGATAGCGCTAGCGCTCTTCAAGCCAAGCTGGCTACAACTCTGCAACTACAGTGCTGGCAACTGAAATCCGACCCCTCGGCGGCGCGGCGCGCAGCCAAGGGGGTCGGATTTCAGTTGAAAGCACTGTACATGACTTGTGTACATCATGACATGTACATGTACATCAGGGATTGGCCCCATTGTTATGGGATAATTTGTCCGTTTTGGTCAGCGAATCCAACTAAAATAAAAAACAACACCTTATTTTGCGACTCCCTGATGTACATGCCTAACTCTTGCCCAGCTGCCACCGTGATGATAGGGAACACTGTCTTGTCTTTGCAGGATTCAGTCTACGACTGAGTGGGTCCGGTGCTAGGGTAGTGCGGCTGCGCTCTGACCGCTAGACTAGAAACCGTGTCTTCGTCGTCATTGGGCAGTTGAGCGGATGAAGCCGTTCGGCATTGGCGCTGAAGCCAAGAAGGATGATAATACCCGCGGATCTGAGCATTCGATGGGTCTATAATGACTATATCTCCGATCCGAACCACTGACTCTATAATAATAAAATAATCTACCGGTAGTACAGTCTACCACTGTCTGTACTAGGCTATATAGCCTAGTACAGTCTACCACTGTACTAGGCTATTATATAGGCGGGCTGTACCTGCTGGGCTAACCGGCCAGCCGTAGACCGACGCTGAACATAATTATCACACAATATCCTCTGGCTCTGACTCTGACTTGGGGTTACGTCTGCCACATGCTTTCTTCTCAGAATTGAATCATGCGTTGACCAATAGACGGCGAGTACGTCATGCTTTCCAGTCGTCTTTCTCGAACCTTCGTCTAGCACCCTCTCCGTAGCTTCATGTACATGCATACAACTGCTTGTCCTGTAGTCTACCGGAGATGAACCCGTGACCCCATGACCCCGAGCAAATCCTGCAGCACTCACGAGCTTCTTGGAATTGGTAGATCTACGCAGCTGCGGAATTTCTTTTGAGCGCCCTCTAGCGGCTCATTTTCGTCGCTGTTGTTGTCGGAGATGGTTTGCTTTTCAGCTTGCTCTCTTTCTCAGTTTCCTCTTCCTAGCTGGCTGTTGGCGGTTTGCCTTCTCGTACTAAATTGTACTTGAGATGAATTGAGTCGTGACTTGTGTTGGCGTGTACGCTGCTCCACTGTGAAAAGTATCAAGTAGCCTCTAATTCGACGGGCTACGGACTGCCCGCTAAGGGAGTGATTGTGCCCTGAAATATGATGTACTGGGCGAGCAACATTCCATCTTCGAGGACTCTGCCAAAAATGGCGGGTGCGAAGCTAAAAGACACGCCTGCGCTACTTAGCAACTCCGTGAGAAGGTTCACCCGGCAACATACTTCAGCGGCAGTAAGTGCTTGTCATTGGCTTCGTTCGCCATGGGTTTGTATGTATATTGAACTTCTAGATCTTTTCTTTCCGAATCAACTTCTTTTGTTCGGTGTGGGCCATGGCAGGTATATTTTCTCCTCCAACCACTTGACTGTAGTATCTGCAGTGAATCGCAGTTGTTCCTTTGCCACTGTGGCTAACCTTGATGACCTTTCTGTTTTGTTCTCCTTGTCCTTCCTCCGAAGTAACAGTTGATGAAGAGAAGTCGCTGCCGTTCTCAGTTGGTCTGCGCATGCGTGTGTTCCGTGGAAGCGTGTTTCCCTGGAAGAAGACCGATGTAAGCACCCGTACATGCACACGATAATACTTCATGCAGTTCTGACAACATTTGTTGTCAGGCCTGGTGATATGGGTTTGTTGCTCTGGGTGCCTGCATTGGCGCTGAATTCTTCTCTCGCTATTTTGACTAGCACCTGTTGAGCCGTGTGAAGGCCATCACTCGACAAGCTCTTTGTAATCGAGACTATCAGACAATGTACGTCGTCTTGATAAGCATTCCGTCAGCGACGAGCGAGGCATTTCAGTGTGGATAAAAACTACAAAGTGGTGTATCCGGATATGTGGCAAACGTCTGGCAACGTGTATCATTCTAAATTCTAATCTTTTTTATTTTTTGTTTTTTGGGCAGCGAGGCACCTGTCTTTCGGCATGCACTTGACTCCCTCGTTGCGGTGTTGTAGTATGGAGGGCCTTTCCATTGTTGTCGGAGGCTGCCAGGGCAAGGACTTAGGTAGTTTGCACTTCCCCGAATTCAGAACGCTACAGGTCACCCAGTTCCTCGACTTTCTCATTTCTTCTCTGCAGGTTGCTGGTCATCTTTCGAGCGTCGTGTACACCGGCTGGATTACTATAGTAACTCTGACGTGCCAAGGCGACCGGAAATCAGTTCCCCATTTTTCCATTTTCAAAATAACTGTCTTGCAATGCGAAATGCACTGTATGGGGTGAACTGACTTCACCCCAGACATATGTGCCTTTACGAACCCTCTAGTACTGACTATCAACTGCATTTTCGTTGCGTGGCATGAAGCCTCGGAATCGGAAAATGAGTAGGGGGGGGGGGCACGTTTTCACAGTGGGCGCACAGAGTAGGGGCCGCTGCTCCCCCCACCCCTTTGGCTAGAACCCTGTATACTGATTATGTAGGTCCTTTCAAACGTTCGTATGCTTATCAGAACTAAAATTTCGCCTTGCAGCTATGTGTATACCAAAACAATGCAGTCTAGAGACTCGGCTCGCGGGGCCAGTGACGTACCGGTATGTAGGCGTTGGGACTGTGGCGATAGGGTGCACTTCGGCTAACCCAGTTGATGGGTACTGCATGATTTGCATCTACATGTACGTTGCATGCTCTGCCCCTTAGCTATAAAGAGTATTAATGCCGCAGACGTTACCGTGCAACACCATAGCTCAGTAGTTAGAGTACGGCTGGCCTCAAGCAAAGCTCCCTTGTTCAAGTCCTGGTGGTGAAATTCAATTTTCCTTTCGACTCTTTCCGTCTCCAGCACCCTCAACTAATGAATAATTTGGTACATTGGGGCTCCCTGTGTACTAGTTTGTGCGTGAAGTGTGTGGGTACAGTGAGGGCTGCGTCCCACTAACTTGTGTAGTGTTACGGTAAGCGTGGTTTCGGAGTCTGAAGAAAATGTTTTCTCCCTTCTGGAATGACAGCTACACCATAGCTCAGTGGTTAGAGCACCGCTGGCTTCAATCGAAAGTCCCTGGTTCGAGTCCTGGTGGCGACAGTCAATTCATTCTTCAGACTTTCCCCTTTTCAACACCCTCAACAAAATGAATATTTTCTTCCAGAATCGATCTTCGTGTTCCAATCATCAGTGGATAATACCGAGCTAAAGTCAGGCATTGAATGAATTTAAAGGGGAAGTATACCCTAAAATCAAATTTTCACCAGTTGTAGTCTTCTGGGTGCTGAGTCGAATGGTCTTGGTCCGAGGAAGCTGCGACGCTCCCTTCCTACTTGAATCCCAATCGAACTCGCGCACTTCCACCGAAACTGGGTGACTGCGCCCTACTAGATGGGGATTTGTATGCAAAATGTCACTAAAAGCGCCATTTCGTTCTTATAAAAGCACGGATGACCGCGATTGGCCCATATGTTGTAGTCTTTTGGACGCTGAGTCGACTGGTTTTGGTCCGAAAAGGCTGCGATGCAGCGTTCCTCCTTTATTCCCAATCGAACATGGTTGAACAAGCGGTCACGTGCTCCTGGGTGCCCAAATCACCTGGTCACCGCGCCAGCAGGTGACAACTTTCACACCAAGGTTCAACTCGAGTTCAACTCGAGTGACAGGACTGCACCCAAAAAAGGTCAAACAGGCTAGTAAGTTGTACCCTGCAGGCACGGTGACCAGCTGACTGGTGTACGCAGGAGCACGTGACCGCTTGTTCAACCATGTTCGATTGGGAATAAAGGAGGAACGCTGCATCGCAGCCTTTTCGGACCAAAACCAGTCGACTCAGCGTCCAAAAGACTACAACATATGGGCCAATCGCGGTCATCCGTGCTTTTATAAGAACGAAATGGCGCTTTTAGTGACATTTTGCATACAAATCCCCATCTAGTAGGGCGCAGTCACCCAGTTTCGGTGGAAGTGCGCGAGTTCGATTGGGATTCAAGTAGGAAGGGAGCGTCGCAGCTTCCTCGGACCAAGACCATTCGACTCAGCACCCAGAAGACTACAACTGGTGAAAATTTGATTTTAGGGTATACTTCCCCTTTAAAGTTAAATACCAGGATAGTGCATAGTTCACGTCCGGATACTATTCAGGACCGTCGGAAGCAGTTTCTGGTTGGTCCGGTAGTTTCAGTGCCTTTCATACTTTGTGTACTGTAAAAGCCATTATTCTAACGAGGCGCATATAACGATTTCCCAAAATTGACTAGTTTACGTGTACCAAAGGTAACGATTTTCACTCATTCTCAACGCTCAATAGGACAGTATAATATGTATCGATTTCTGTATAACGGTTTCTATTTTAACGACAGATGTCTCCTCGTTAACTCGTTAGAGTTAGCACTTCGTTATATAT